AATTATTTGATTTAATAAATAATTGATCGATTAACAAAAATTGTACATTTTCTTTTCATACAGTAAACATATTTTATTGAGAAATTGTCATAACTATATGTACATATATTATTAAATTACGTGGGATGCCAGTACTTACACCTTGGGGCATAAGCGCCTAATGGCCAATAGAAGCTCACAACTAGGGGTGTCAATATTTGACACGACCCGAAAATTCGATCCGAACTCGACCCGAAAATTTCGGGTTAGGGTCAACCCGAACCCGACCCGTTTCGGGTTCGGGTTCAGCATTTCGACCCGTATCAAAAATCGGGTCGGGTTCGGGTTAACCCTTTGACCCGAAATTGACCCTAAAGTGACCCGATTTTGACCCGAAAATCCGAGATTGACCCGTTTTTTACCCGAAAAGAGGAAATTGACCCGTTTTTACCCAAAAATTAGCCATTTTCTGGTTGGAAACGGGTCATTCGGGTCGTGTCGGGTTGACCCGGACCCGAAGCTGGTCGGGTTCGGGGTCAGGAAAACTGACCCGTTTTTAAAAACGGGTCTGGTTCGGGTTGACCTGAATAGTGCCGGGTCAGTTTCGGGTTCGACCCAAACCCGACCCGTGACCCGTGACCTGAAATTGACACCCCTACTCACAACATGCAGCAATAAAGGCCTACAATATACTGCAATTTATTTAAGACTAAACATGATTATAAATTATATTAAGAGATTAAATATGTTTTTAAAAAATTAAAAAATAGGCAAGATCATCCGTCAAACAGGCGACTTAAGTTGACTAGGATTAGCTGAGTCAGTTGTCCGTTATGCTGAGCGAGATGGTAAGGTGGTGATGACTTATCCCTCTCATTTAAAAAAAAAATTATTTCTGATCAGTGTAGTGGTTAAACTTAATTTTATATTTAAATTAACCATATAATAGATCAAATGCACATACAATCACTTATACTACGACAAACAAATGAAATACTAGTTTCTATGACCAATCTAAATGTGTTTGTCTTAATATTTTTGTACAGCACATCACATGTGCACACGTTATGTGAAACAACAAAGATTTCCCACAAGTGCACTTGCATCTCCTTCTATCAAGTCGAGAAATAAATTAAAAAGACTCAAATAGGATTATTTTTAACCAAATATGTACAACACCTCAAATACTAAACATAATAAACCGTAAATATTAAAAAAAAAACCTTACCTAAACACTTGGCGGCGAGATCGGCGACGGTTACGAAAGATGAAAGCGAAGTAAATGAGATTGGGAAGGATTTTGGGAATTAAAATATTAGCTCTAAGTCGTCCATTTAATGGGCGACTTATAAACCGCTTGTTAAACGGGCGACTTAATCTCAAAACTTGCCACATCATCGCCATGTTGGATCTTGCCTATTCTAGTCAAGCTTAAGTCGCTCGTTTGACAGGCGATTTTGCCTATTTCTATATTTTTTTTAACATGCTTAAGCTCTTAATACAATTTATAATCATGCTTAGTCTTAAAATTTTTACTTTATTTTAAAAGTTATATCTTTTATTACTAGAGGAAAAGTTGATAATGTTGAGGATTGAAGCAAGAATTTCTAAGTTCACAACATTCACTTTATCCACCAGGCCACCGAGTTAAATAATGCTTGAGATTTACTATAGTTTATTTAAATCTGACAAAAGTCAACTCATTTTTTATTTTGATGTGAAGTTTAAATCACTAAAAATCAAATATATAATAATAATTTTTTTAATATAACTAACACCTAAATATTTAAAAAGAAATAAAAACAACATCCAACCCTTTATCGTGCCGGTTATCTGAATCATTTTTCTCCATTATGTCATGTTAAGAATTAAATGCCCATTTAAATCTAATAAAAAAATTCATTTTTAATATTTTCTAATCAAATCTTTTTAGGTCAACCTCTACATTTTTTAACATAGGTCAAATCTAATACATCTACTCTCCTAACCGGATTATCAAAAGGCTAACATTTTATGACAATACTCTCTAATCTTATCTAAACGAGATTTTGATTTTTAACATAACTTTAACCGATCCCACGTAGTGGGACAAAGACTTGATGTTATTGTTGTACTCTCTAATCTTATCTGCCATTAGAGCTACTCTAATCTTTTTTTTTTTTTAAGAAATAAGATAATCATAAATTTATGTGTAATGGAATAAATAGAATGTTGAATATAAAATTTAATAATTTTTTAAAATGTAATGTTTTCTTTTTTTTATTTCCTTATATTTATCCTCTTTTTGTGATGTCAAAAGGGAGTAATATTTTCTTATTTTCTTCTTTTTCTATCCTTCTCTTCTTTTTAATAATATTAAAAGGGGAGAACATATTTGTCTCATTGCATTTGTTCATATTTTATTTACATTTGTTTATCTATTTTTTCAGTTTTTTTTTTTGTTGTTTAGTTTCTTAATTTCATTTGTCTTAAATAAAAAATAAAAAATATATATTTTTTATATCCCTTTTTTTAATATAATTATCATAGTGAATGAGAGATTAGGAGAAAATATTTTTAAATTTATAAATTCAACCAATAATATTTGTCATCATAAAAAAGTTGGAGATTATTGCAATTCGAGTTCATGAGTTTATGTTTTTTATTATAACAAATATTGTGGCTCATATCCTTATGTCTACTTGTATTTATAATGTATATTTATTTGTGTGTATTCTAATATTTCAAGAGCATCATGCACTATTCAACGAATATTCAAGGCTCAAGATTGGATAGAATAGATTATACTATAAAGATTTTTATAATATTCATTGATGAATTTTTTATTTCTTGAATCAAGTCATGTAAGGGTGTATGCTTGCTTGGTGATCATGCACACACCCACACTTATGGGGAGTGAGATTGAGTCAAAACCAAATGTTTAATTTTTGACATAATCGTACTGTACGATTTATATCGTACTGTATAATCAACTCATGTAACTAATCGTATTTGACACTTAAGATCGTCCAGGACGATCCGTTATGATCATGAAAAAAAAAACATTCAATTATAATTTAGGCAAGATTTTGAATTTCATATTTTATTCTAAATATCCAAAATGATATACATCGTCCTGGATGATCTATGGCAATCATGCCTAAATTGATCATATAATTGGTCAATCGAATCTGCTTAATTTTGAATATTCTAATTTTGTTGTACAATATAGTTTGTACTATATGATTACCCGTATATGAATTTGGTCATCTCATGTTTCATCATGAACGAACTGCATTTTGGTTGAACTAATCATCCTGGATGATCGCATAATCATAATGGACGATCTGTATAAATACTTGAACATATAGTCTAGGGCAATGCTAATCGTAGTGGTTGTAAGTGCTATTTTGTATTGATCGTACAAGATGATCTCATGATCGTATTATACGATCTTTGACGATATAAGTAATTATTTTTTTAGGGTTCTTGAAGCCCTCTATTTAAGCTTTCCCCAAAGACATTGTATGTGTCTTTGGCATACATTGAGTCTCCGTTCTTCTAGAGAAAACTTGAAGATAGAGCCTTGAAAGGGAGAGAGGAAATGGTGGAGCTTGAGAGATAAAATATTCATGTGGGGTTCAAGGGAGTGTAGAGGGAGTTTCACATGATTGTTCTGACAAGCTTGCATTTTAATACTATCGGATTCAAGGTTTATCTTAATGGAAGTTTTTGGAAAATGAAGATTCTCTTTGGTGTCAAAAGACCTGGCTACTCTGCCGTATCTGGGGAAGCGAAAGGGATTTGTGGTTCTCTACCATCTCCTGGAGAGAGAAAAAAGAGTCAAGGTTCTCTACCTGTGAAAGGAGTTTCAGTCCTCTACCGCATCGGGTTGGTGTAAGAGATTTTATAAGGGTTTCTTCGCCTAGCTGTGGGGGCTAAAGGAGAGTCATTAAAGGTTTAGTGCAATATTTGGAACGGGAGGTTCTAGGAAGTTGATGCAAGTCAGGTTGGACCAAACCACAATAAAATATGATGTGTTTGTTCTTGGTTTTATTTTTTTGCACTTTATTTTCCCCATTTATTTTTGTGATAACTACGTGAGTGAAAAACTCTGATCTATTTATTTATTGTGAATATAATTCACTTCTACATCAAGTTATAATTTTTTTTTTTCTTTTGTATAAATAAGTTTTTAAAATGTCAAATTCACCCTCTCTTGGTAAGCCAATGAACTAATTCTTTAACATTTCACAACCCTCACGAACTTTCAACTTCATCATTGTGGTGTTTATTCCTCGTCTCCACAACATCATATATGAATAATCTAGTGACTATATTAAAATTTATCCTAATAACTTTTAAATATTGACAAATAGTTCAAATTTGTCAATAATAATACCCTATTAATAATCGACAAACACTTTATTTAGTTAGTTATATCGTTAATGACTAACTATTTTATTATACAAGACTAGGGGTGCAATGAATTGAGTCAAGCTCAAGTCACTCCTAACTTGAGCTTAATTAATTAATCTAGTTCAAACTCGAGTTTTATCCAACGAGTTAGAGCCAACTCACAAGCCAACTCATTTATTATGAAAGAGAGAAAAATATTATGATTTAAATAATTATTATAATAAAATGATAAAAAGAATGAAGAATTATTTAATAATAATAATAATAAATCACTTAATACAAATAAATGAATAATATTTTCAAACATTTTTTCAATAATTTTATACTTAAAATTATAAATCATAATATATTTTAAGCATATTTTATATTAATATTTTTTAAACAAGCTGGCTCACAAGCTAAGGAGTCAAGTTACGACTGGCTCAAGTTTGACTCATTAGCTCATCGAGCTCACAAGCCAACTCATGAGTCGACTTGACTCACTTACACTCCTATAAACCCGAGCATGTAATATTTATGAAGCAACTTTATAGTACCAAAATTTTAAAATAAAAAAAAATTATACTAAGAAACTGCGTCGTAAAGCATAAAATAGTTGTCCCAAACAAAACCTAAATATTCATTAGGCATCTCAAACATGTAAAAGAAGAATTAAATAATAGATAGTGTGATAGAAATTATCACGCATTTGCTTTCTATACTTTTCTCCCATCTCATCTCTTATCTTCTTGCTAAAAGACCTACCTTCTGCTGTTTAATAGTGGCATAATCCTGACATCATAAGAAAATAAAAACAAAGAGCACAGCGAGTTGCTACACAAGAGATAGATGCCAGCAATAATAAAACTGGTTAGACAAACTCAGCATTATCAGGTGGTGGAAGTGATTTGCTTGCTCTTTCTAGGTTTATGTTGTTCTTTTTCCTTTCCTCAAGATCCCTACCTATCTTGCTTCTAGTTTTGGATTCGATATCATTCCAGCTCAATTTACCTGTTTCTATGGCGTACACATATAAATCCTTCACCAAATTGTTGAATCTCCGTCGAAAAGTCGGCATTCGGGACAATGAAGCAACTATGCCTTGCAGCCTGTGGCACAAAATCACTTTTCTCTGTAAGGAAGTGTAAACTCTTAACTATAGAAGCAGCAGAATTTCTATTTTACTGCACAACCAAAAAAAAAAAAAACATTCAGCATCTTCAACATGCAGAGATCCAATTTTCTTGAAGAACAATCTAGCTGATCCGTAGATGTTATTTATAAGAAATCTCGGAATAAACTTCTCTAAATTATTCCTAAAAGAAATATGATTTGAAAAAAATTTCAATAACATTCAAGGCTACAATACCATGTGTAACTACTTAATCATCTCCTTACAGTGGTGTGAGGCTTGAATTTTCTTGATTTTGATGAATTTTTTCTTTTCTCTTTTTTTGAGGTTAACGTTAGAGTCCAAGGGTTTTCATTTGAGTAGATCTAAAACCAAATTCATTGAGTTAGTAGTAATAGATCTAGTTAAGGGATTATGATGTTGGACAATCAAGTCATTAAAAAGAGTACACGTTTTAAATATCTTGGGTCTATTATTCAAAGTAATGGTGAAATAGATGAGGATATTATCAGTAGAATTTAAGTTGGATGGTTAAAGTGAAGGAATACATTAGGCAAGTTATGTGATAGAAAAAAAAGTACCCCTCAAACTTAACGGAAAATTCTACAAGATAATGGTGAGACCTGCAATACTTTATGGTGTAGAATATTCGTCATTAAAAGAGAAGCAAATTAACTTAAGTGTTGCAAAGATGATGATGCTCAAGTGGATGATTAGCTTTACACTTAGAGACAATACGAAATGAGTATATATGTGATAAGGTTGGAGTAGCTCCAGTGACAGATAAGATTAGAGAGAGTCACCTTAGATGGTTTGGTCATATAAATCATCGGTCTTTCGATGACCCAGTTAGGAATGTAGATGGATTAGATTTGGCCTATGCTAAGAAAGATAGAAGATGACCTAAAAATACTTTGTTAGAATGTATTAGAAATGACCTTTGTTTATTAGATTTGAATGTGAATTTGACTCTTAACAAAACACAATAGAGAAAAAAGATTCATGTTGCCGATCCCACGTAATGGGATAAAGGCTTAATATTATTGTTATTATCTTCTCTAATATATATATATATATTGCTTGTTGGAGTTCTTAATGTGGTTCAAATGTGATATTAACTGAAATTTTAATTATGATGGAGAATTTTTAAGAATTTGTAGATCTTATGTGATTCATATTTTTTATTAGTCTCCTCATATTTAATCGATCATTGCATTATCATTTGGGAAAATTTTAAGAATAAGCATGATTAAAAATTGTATTAACAATTTAAGCATGTTTAAAAAAAAAAAAAATTAGGCAAAATCGCTTGTTTAAACGGCGACTTATGATGACTAGAATTATAGCCATTATGCTGAGTTGGCAAAGAAATGTTTCTATTAATAAGTCACCCGGATAACAGACGACTCATAAGTCGCCTGTTAAACGAGCGACTTATCCTATAATTTAAAAAAACATTTAATTAAAAAAAATTTCTACAAGGTAGGAGAACTGTTAAAGAATGATATGTAAATAGAATTAAGGGATTTTATGTTAATGATAACGGGATGATAATGATATGATCTTTGATGAATATTTGGAAGCTATGTGATTTTGAACAATCTTGATATATATTTAATAATCATATTTTTATATGTGCCCATAAAGGGATATCATTAAAAGATGGGTTAATTAATCAAAACTTAAATTAATAAATTTTTTTGTAGCTGCTTACACTATTTAGCCCCCAAAATATTAGTACTATGGAAGAAATTATATGTTGCTCAATTTTTTTGCATGTCTTTGCACTTAGTGTTATTATGAATGAATGAATGTTTGAACAATTTTGACAAATCATGTAGATTGTGCAAGGAATGTTTTTCATTTTTGAATGCTAATGTTAATCAGTATGAGTCAATAAATGAGATTCATTTTATGATCCATAATATAAGCATACTGAAATTAAATAATCCATAACATAAGCATACTGAAATTAAATAATCCATAACATAAGCATATTGAAATACATAAAAGGATGAATTAGCGTCACCTACGTGACCTCTGTGTCAATGCATCAGTGCCTGGAGTGTAATATTGTGGAGGTTGCCATGGCCTTTGACGTAGCATGTGATGTTCCTCCTCAGCTATGTCATCTCTATGAAGGGAGCTCGGTACAAAATCTGGGGTCAGGTATGCATCCAAATCCGCTGGCACCTGGTTACTCAAGAGGTCCGCAGAGGGCCCTTGATCAGGATAAGAGGAGGGTACAGCATATCCACTGTAATGCTGAGGAGATTCCTGGGTCATGGAAAATGGTATATCATGCTCACTTCTATCCTCAAAATATCCTTGATCTTGAATATACAACTGTGTACGCAATCCACGACAAAGCTCTGCCACTGTGTTTATGTCCCTCTGTTGTTGTGTATCATTTGTATCATTGAAGTGTTGTTGCAAAGCATGTTCAGTACCAAGGAAAAAATCCCTCTGAATTAACAAAAGAAGTTTGTTATTATTTAAAAAAAAAGAAATTATTTAAAAAAATTATAGCATATTTAATTTAAATCTACCAGAAGGCGCTCAGAGGGAGCTCTAAGATATGCCGTTGTGGGAGGCTCAACAGGTGCCTTCAGCATGTATAGTGTTGCCCATGACTTGTACCACTGTATGTAGTGATGAATCGAGTAGTTATTATGCTGGTCAAGGAGGTCCCCTGTAACTATGTATCCATGCCTACTCTCCCATATGACAATGTGTGCTTGGTGGTACAACATCCAGTCCATGTCTGGTTTCCCGCGACCATCTAGGATCCATTGGTTCGATGTTAGTAGTTGGGCATAATCCAAATTGTCGTAGTACTCTATTTGGGAAGTGCCACTCAAACCTCTTCCAACTGATCAAAGGCACTCGTGCAGTCCAAATGTCCTCCCCTGACAGACAAATATGTGTGACCTGAGCTTGAATATCAGGCGTGTATGGCTGCCAAATTACCTGCTTTTTCAATAATAAGTTCTATAAGTTTGAAATAACAAGTTAATTTTTTATTTCAAAACTTTAAGAAGATACCTGACTATCAAGTAAACCATCGAACTCATCTCTATAGTTAATGATATTTTCAACAGGCAACTCTCTTAGCCGATCCTCATTCCACCTATTACATTAATATTGTAAATAAATAAGATTTTATTGCATGTAGTATAAAAAAATTAATTAAATAGAATTATCAAATACCTGAACCCAACACTAAGACCATGAAGTTCCACTGGAAAGGGAACACGAAGCAATGGTCGTCCTACATGCAGATGCTCTCAAGCCCAGATTTGTAACAAATGAATGCATCCAGCTATGTTGGCCCTACTAGGCCGTGTTGCTTCTCCCAACTCTCTATACAAATGAGCTAAAATTGCTCCTCCAAGAGAGTATGTACTGAATACTGTCAAATCCTCCATAATAGCAAGGTATTGTAAATGTATCTCTGAACCTGAAGTATCCGGGAGAAGGTGACAGCCTAATATGAACAATATGTAAGCCCGAACATGCCTCCAAAAATCCATATCGTTTAGGTCCAAGTAGGAGTAACGCCAAAATGTCCATCGCAGCCATCTGAGTGGAATACAAGTTTGTGCATGTGCCTGTCCCATACGAAACCGTGATGTGATGCGATGATCGAATGGGTCCCGGTATACAAAATATGGTAGTGGATGGCTCCCAAGAAGGTCATCACAGCAGTCTGGCCAACTAAGCCAACGTCTCCCAGCTCCAACAACAACATGCCCTACCTTTTAGTGATGTCTATACACGTGGAGCAAAGAAGTTATTGTTTTGTTGCTCCTTAGTTGTAATAAACTCCAACCGCCTCATAAATATTGAAATAATGTTATAGTAGATGGCCATAATCAAGGCTTGAATTGGAAATCCTCGTGCTCGCTTCAAAACTCCATTAAAAGACTCAGCTGCATTAGTTGTCATTACCCCATATCTAAATCCACCATCATTTGTTAAAGACTAACGGCTCACATCTCGGTCCACGAGCCATTGGTGGATGTCTACTTTGATCCTCTTCATATCTTCCATACATCTATTAAAAAAGCCTTTATCATCTGTATTGCCTGCTGCGTATATTTTTTGGCACAAAAACTCTATGTCACCTAACCCCATCTGTCGTATTGCTTTCTTGAAATTTTCACGTAGATGTCTTAAGCAATACCGATGAACAACATTAGGAAAGATTTCCCTACAACCTCTAACCAAACCAGCATGCCTGTCTGATATGATACAGAGATTGTGCCTATTCGTAACTACGAGGAGTAGCTCATTCACTTGTCTCAAAATCATATCCATGATTCATTACACTCTGACTCAACTATAGCAAATGCAAGTGGATATAGACTATTATTAGCATCCATTCCAATCGCAGTTAATAATGTCCCCCGATATTTACCGAGTAGGAATGTGCCATCAAGACAAAGAACTGGCCGACAATAATTCCACCCAGTAATAGAAGGACCAAATGCCCAGAATAGTCTTTGAAACCTATTTGTCTGTGTGCTTTGAATTCTATATACCGTTCCAGGCATTGCAAAGGCAACAGCATCCATGAACAAATTAAGAGTACGATAAGACTCCTCCCAATTACCAAAAACAACTTTAATTGCCTTCCTCCGAGCATCCCAAGCCTTCATGTATGACACTTTAATATTGAACTTCAATTCCATATGACCAATTATCTCCCTTGGCTTCAAGTCCATCTACTTTCTAATTGTGGGTAGAATATAGAAACTTATAAACTGTGAGTTGCATTGACGGTGGCCACTTTCAAGAATTGGAGACACACATGTATGCTGGTTCTTTATGGATGAGATTTTCCATATACCGCCTAAGCGTTTACTCTGAGCAGAATGAAGTCTCCAGAAGCAAGGATATACCGGACAATCATGCTTTGCACAAACAATTATAAATTTCATTGTATTTGATGCGATCACAATATATTGCGCATTA